AAGAAGCTAGAATCCAGGGCCACTCCTGGGAAAAAGTGTCTTCTTGCATTAAAGAGGAGCCAAGGCCTCTGACTGGCTGGAAAGTTACAGAATCCCACAACCAGGCCAGAAACTCCCTCCTCCATCACAGAATCAGAGCCGGAAAGGGACCTTTCAAGGCCTCTAGTGCAAGTCTCAGCCTGCTTCTTCTCAAAGTCCTGCTGAGTACAAGCTCAGCCTTGTTGCAACTTCTCATGAGAGGAAGGTTCCCCTTCCCCAGAATGCTGTTGGCACCTGATATGCTGGGTGCAGTGATCCAGAGTTCTAGGCCCTTGGCTGGAAGTGCTGGGGTCTTCTCCAGCCTCTTCCTTCTCTCCCCCTTGGAGGAGTGGAGGACAGAGTGGGGTTGCACGGATGGGCAGGTGGGGTGCTTGCCAGCATGAGAGCCCACAGGAATGGCTCTACAGAGGCAAGTTTGGGGAAGCTGCCTTCAAACTTCAGTTGAAATCTTTGGGATGTGTCAAGGGGATCCAGGGCTGGTAAAGAGCATGCTCGATTTTGGTAGCCATCCCTGACCCCAGTCCTTGACCTAAAACCTCTCCTTCTGGGCAGAGGCCCTCCTCCTCAGGATGGCCCTACATCTGGGCCACCTTCTCGAAGGTACCCCTGGTTTCAAGAACTCCCTCACCTCAGCACCTTGGCTCTCCACCCTCTACCTCATGTCCTGGGCATGGGGGACCATGCTTCCTACCCAATTCTGAAACCAGAATCTGACCTCTGCTCAACCCTTGATCCGAAAGCCCCGAGAGTAGGTGACATCACTGTTCCTTCACTCCTACTGGGCCTCAGGCCTCCTCTGAGACTGGCTGACTCTTCTGAGCCAGGGTCTCAGACATTTGGGATGGAGGTTCTCAAACATGTCTGCAGGGGTCCTCTAGTTGCAAACTACTGGGGAGGCAGCAGGGATGCAATAGGCCGTGGTGTGGAAGATGTTTGCATAGGTCCCACCCAAACATCAAGAGTGGTTCTTGAACCTCTTGGACACAGAGTTACTTTACCAGGTATTGGTTAAACAGGGCCTGTCTAGGGGAGCCAGAAACCTCCCCCTATCTGTCTTCCTCCAAGGTTTGTGGATGTGGTAGGGAGCTGGGTGCAGGAGGGGAAGTCAGAGCACACATCCACTCATGCACATGTGTGCTCAGTAGGTGGTGTAGAGGGTTGGGGTAGGTCTTCCAGGGCGTCCAAGGCCACATTCGTCCCAGTGAACAGGCAGGGGTGACCACAGAAAAACAGGTTACCAAACATAGGCCCTCACTGGGATGGTGGGCACTGGGCATGTCCTGGACGTTCATAGGCCCTCGGCAGACCATCGTACTGCACACTGATATGGGTACCATCACATGTAAGTCTGTGTGATGGAGACTTGTTTTGCAGTATACTACCTGCACTGCTGTGCCAGGTCCTAAAGCCCTGACCTGAGCAGTGTGAGATGGGATAGCTCCAGCAGTGGAAAAAGATGGAAAATATAAATTGACACATGCACAAACACACCGTGTGTATTCATCCATACTGGCACTTGTGTACCTATACTGTCACATGTACACACATACCTCCTTGACTCCATTCAGCCAGCCCTGTGTACAGTGAGGATTGGAAGCCTCCCTTAGTGTGTGTGGCCATGTGAACTCTGTCCCTCAGCAGCCTGCCTGTGTGCAAAGGGTCCCCATCTCCACCCTCCAAACCACCCACCTGGGCCAGGCCCAGATCTTCTGTCCTCTTGTCTGTCTCTGACTTCCTTCTGAGTTTCTTTCACTCCTTCCACTCTGACATCTGTTTCTTGTGCACTCCTTATCTCTCTGGGTAAGGGGGTGGGGTGGGAGGTGGGGCTGGGAAGGGGATATGCTCTGACTGACCCTGATTCAGTTTCTAGTAGGGGTCAGGGCTCCTCTCACTATACCTCAAGAAGTCTCTGCTTCGTAGGGAATCAAGGCCCAATAGCTACCTTCAAGTCTTAGGTTAGCTTTGTTTCCTTCACCCCCTGCCCTGCACTGGCTAACTTGGTTCTCTCTCCGACCTGTCCTGCCCTGCCAGCAGCCGGATGGGTATCAAAGACCGCATCCGTATGGGCAGCTCCCAGCGGCGGACAGGTCCTTCCAAACAGCACCTGGCACCTCCACCAATGCCGACCTCCCCAAGCAGTGAGCAGGTGGGCGAGGCCACCAGCCCCACCAAGGTGCAGAAGAGCTGGAGCTTCAACGACCGCACCCGCTTCCGGGCCTCTCTAAGACTCAAGCCCCGTACTTTTGCGGAGGGTGAGCCACACGAAGTCTGGGGCTCTGGACCTGCTGAAGATGGAAGGGCGGGTCTTCCACTCTATAAAATGGGCATCATAATACTTTTTTTTGCTGTAACTCAGGCACCAACTGTAGAAGCCTCAAGTGAAAATGTGGAGGATGGCATTTGGTAGTGTTAAGAGCACAGGCTTTGGAGCTAGGGTGCCTGGATTTGAATTCTGGCTCTGTTACTTATCTTGGGCAAGTGACCTCATCTCCCTGGGCTCCATTTTCCACATCTGTAAAAGGGGGAGGGTTGTGATAGTCGTATCGGCTTCAGAGGATTATTGTGAAGATTAAGTGAGATGATCCATGGAAGGCAAACAGGAGTGTTTGGAATATAGTAAGTAAGTGCTCAAAAAGCCAGTGTTACAAAGGTGCTTCAGAAGGAGCAGGAGTCTGTCACATGTCACAAGCCCTGTATACAGCCCCACACTAGACTATCTCATTGGCTTCTCTCAACGACCCTGCTTTAGCCCCATTTTGCAGACATGGAAATTGAGATTCTCACTGTGTGAGTAGCAGAGTATCCCCAGGTAGATCTGTCCAGTTCTAAAGTCCACACTAGGCCCTTCCCTCATACCCAGACAAGCCTGTGGACATGTGGCTGGATATCTGGGCAAGGAGGGGTGTCTTTTTTCCACTATTAGAGGAGGACCTTTTCTTGAGTTCTAGTTCTGCTTGCAATTTGCACCATGATGTAGACAGGAGGCTACTCCATTCTGTGCTTCAGCAGCCTCTTCTGGAAAATGATAGGTCTGCACCCAGATCTCTGGAAGACCCCTCCTAGTTTCAAGACATGCTATAGGGCCCAGTTGGGAAAAGAGGGTGTGAGTGAAAGGATGGAGAATGGGGACAGGAAGCCCCTTTGGCCTTGGGGGGAGGGGGACCAGCTACATTACCTCTGCTTATGCTGTGTCAAAATGCCCAGGCTTTTTTCAGGAAAAGGCTGAGAGAGCCTTTTCCTGGAAGGTTACAGAACTCCACAAACCAGTCTTTGGGATGCTGACCCATGGAAGCCTGGGCATGGCCTATGCCTGGGACCTCCCTTCCCTGCCCCCTTCTCCTGGGAGGTGAGGAGAGTGTCACCTCTCTTTTGGCACAGGGTACCAGCTCTGGAGCTGTCTCTCTATCTTTAAGGGCCCTCTCTGGCAGCAGAGTTGGGTAGAGGAACCATTCTTGGGCTTCCTTCTCTCCTAGTTAGAGAATAAGACTGCACATGATTATGAGCAGAACACTAAATGCCATTTCTTCAGCGCCCTCTGTCCTGCATGCAGGGATCAGTGGGACCTCCTGTAGGGCTGTGTGTATCCCATCTGCCCCAGGCCAGACTAGATGTGCCCTAAAGCAGCTGCCACTCTCCTGGCACCAGGCAGATCTGGCCTGCCCAGCCACAGGGACAGATGAGCATGTAGCACCCTAGGGTTTTCCATCCTGGGTAGGGTAGCAAGGGGCAACAGCCAGGGATGCAGGAGCTTGGGCTAGTTTTTACTCCAGGATGGTCTGTGCCCTTTCTGTCTTCCTATCAGTACCTTTAATGGAGGTGGGGTTTGGAAGTGGCCCCTTCTGCTGCCACTACTTGGACTATGTGGACATTCCTGTCTTTTCAGAGGGCCCGCCAGAGGAAGTAGCTGAGGAGAAGAGCTACCAGTGTGAACTCACAGTGGACGATGTCATGCCTGCTGTGAAGACAGTCATCCGCTCTGTCAGGTGAGGGTGAAGGCTGAGGTAGTACCCCTTCCGCCTGCTGCCTATTGCTGCTCCCCATCTGGGCCTGCCCTCCTAGCCAGGCCTGGCCTAGCTCCCAGTGTGCCAGCTGCTGCCCACCTGGAGTGCAGAAGGGGTGGGCAGGTAGCATATGGCTCCCAGTAGGGCTTGCTCCTCTGCATTATGTCCAGAGAGCCTGGCTCATTGGCTGGTGGCACAGCTGCCTTTGGTCCCCATATGTGCAGTGTCCTTCCAGTCATTCCCACCCCACCTTTCTGTTTCTCGCTCCTTTGTCTATCTCCCACTTCATGTCAGGCTTTTTTCCTTCTCCTTTTCCCTCTCTGTGTTGGCACCTGTCTGTCTCTCCTGGGTTCTCCATGTGTTCTTTTCCTGATTCCTGTGTCTCAGTCCCAGGCTCCTTTTGTCTCAGCATCTCTCTC